AATAAAATTACATTTCTTTTATTATTTACCTCTCCCGAATAGATTCAATTTGAAATTTAGAAACACGAAAAGCATACATTATTTCTCATACATTTCTACTTTTCAAATATATACATGTATATAAATTATATTCATTACATTTACTTTCGCTCTTCATAATAATTCATTTCGTCCGATTCAAATTCAGAAATCACTAGGACGAAATGTTATGCAGGTAGCGCTGCGGAGAGCTTCGCGAACGCGCATGAGGGGAATAGTAGTGGGGTAATCACATTATAGGATGGGCCGGAAATCGTAATACAACCGGGCAGGGGATGATTCTACGTTAAAAAAGAAAAAAATAGTTTGGCATAACATTTTTTCATCCAGAGCTTCGTTTTCGTGAAAATTGGCTCCAAAATTTGTTCAACTTGTAAACGATTTAGTACAATTTGCTTGCCGTTCCACTGTTCTAGTTGTCTATCCGGAACAGGGTTTATAAACATTGACAACGATGAAAAAACGTCTACATAGTTCGGTTTACAATAGGAGTCATAGTTTATTATTAGGAACAGGAAAGTTGCCATTTCATGGTATTTGTGTAAGACAAATGTCAATTACACTTTCAATTGTAAGAAAACCCAATGGCATTTCCGACCACTTATCTCTGTTTACAACGCGAAGTGATAAGTCCCAGATGCCAGGCGCCCAAGACCTTTGTTAAGGCAACGACGGGATGCGTGACTTTCAATGGGAAAAAGCTCTTCGGAAAAGTTACGCACCGATCACGTACACAGCGCGTCAGGGTGCTAAAACGCAGACCCATCCCCATCGGGCCTGAGGCAAACCATTTTTTGAAGACAGACCTACGGGACACTTCTATGTGGATCGCTGTGGCGAACATACATATTTAAAATGAAACTTGAATTTCCATTAATGGCCATACTTTTTAATTATTATTTATCTACATATTAACTTATATTACAAAAATGTGTGTGTCGCAATGTGAACGAACATGACTGACGACGAATGACGGCTTTAAATTAAAGAAAAGGAGAACATAGAAATTATTTAACACGTTCCTAAAGCTCAAATGTCAAATAGTTCTTCATCAGTTTGATTACACGTTGGGCGTTGATCAATTTTACCACGCAGTGTCCCAATTACCTCTTACAATGTCGATCAGGGAACCCTGCATCAGGGAATCAGGGAACTCTGCATCTTCTCAGCGTTGTCACTTTTTTCTGTATCCCAATTTACGTAGTGCCTTCACATCCACGTCGCCGTAGTAGTCTTCGCTATGAAATGTATTATTTACTATGTTGAGATTCATCATTCTTTTCTCTTGCTTACCAAGGATAACTATATTTTCTTATTTCCCTATCGCGAAAATAGATAGTGCATATTATTCGCAGACACCTGCGTGTTATAGTTACTTGTGAGAAGCATGCAGTTAGAATCACGACATTAAATTTCCAACAAAGGAAGCGAACACGGAAAACAGGGAACGTGTTGGTGGCGTAGTGAAGGACCTGGCGTAGTGAAATCTCTTTTTCACGAGCTTTTGTTCCTTTTATTGTACGAATCTTTCACATTACTTAAAAATACATGGACGAGTTTAGCTTACACAGGCATGCTTAACCGAGGCCAAGAGTGTGAGAGGACAAGCTCGAATTGAAGAAATCGAAAAAAGAAATATACTTTCACTGAACTTTTCCCTCGATTATCTTGACAATTGGACTCAGTGAACGCATTCTACTATACGATACTGTAATACTCGAGCTTCCCACTATTTTCGTTTTAAATCGCACGTCTTACGATAGCGAAGGGAATGTAAAGAGCAAGTGTGAAGAGGAAGTGAAGGACAGAATGAGAAAGATAGAATATCGCTGAGACGATACGACTTATCACGAGCTCAACATTCAATGTTTTAATTACGGGTCTCAATTGTAATCATCAAGCAAATATCAAGTATAAATTAAAATGGAAGAGACTACCCATTAGGCGACATTCGTCGATTTCACTCGGTTTTTAACGCGCGGCTGAAGCGTGATCAGTCTCTTAATAATCATACCTGTGTTACTAAGCATGGTATTAAATAATTACGTGCCCGAAGTGTTGCAAAGCGCAGCAGGTAGAGTATTAAAATCGAACGAACAGGACATACAATAATATTATACGTATCTCTACCGTCGGCTAATGAACTTCATCGTGGATGAAGAAACATGACAGTCTTTCTATTCAATCACAAGACTTGAAAGAACCACTCGCGTCAGATCATCGAACACGAAACAGCCATCGAATCATTTACATACATCTACAAACGATTCATTCGAATGGCAATTAAAGAATATACGTAACCGAACGGGTTGTTTAGAATTACTGACAATCATTTTCTCGACATTAATTTTACTATTCAATACGAAGTTTCGTTGATTTCTACTTGATACTTGATATGTTCGCACTGTCAAATAAATGTCGATGAAGGCTTGTCAACGACTTGATGGTAACGTAAATTGACAATGAGCACCACTCTTGGCCCCCGGCGCTACATATTCCGAGGTATCAAATATCAGGATCGATTGCTCAAAATTGAGATGAGTAGATGCATTTACGTGTGTGTAACGCGTGCTCGCGTGTACGTGGGAGGAATTATCAATAGAGAGAGAAGGAATGGGCAAATGAAGGAGGAAGGGAGAGAACGGTGGAGGAGTGTGTGTGTGTGAAAGAAAAATAGAAAGGGGGACAAGAGGGAGGAGATAGATTAGAAATTATTCTTGAGAGGGTGCGTTGGGCCTCGCAGGTGCCGAAGGGGGCCTCGGTTTGCCCTGGTTAGGCTTCCTGTTGTCGCTCGAATGCTGAAGTCCAGTAAGCAGTTCGCTCTTTCTGATGGTCTTTAGGTCCAGGTCACCGTAGTAATCCTCACTGTGAAACAAAACACCGGGAAGAATCCGGGAGTTAGGACATGCGTGATGTGCTACCTGTCTCACGTGCACCCTTGTGTTCTTTTTTAACGGTTAATCACGTATTCATTGTTTAGTACGAGAGTATGCCTGTGTATTAGAGATTGTACAACTGGTATTCAATCCGAGTTAGATAGTTAGATAATCTTGTCACAATCTTGCCGATTGTTAATTGTATATATTTTTATTATTGTTGTAACCCTCGTACTGTTGGAAGAAACCACGTGTATTTGCAGCCTCATTTAATATGCAAATAAGAACGAAAGGGGTAAATGAAAAAAAAAATAACACGTTATTCCTGTCCTCATGGAAGATTATGTAAATGTTATATTACCAACATTTGGACGGTTGTTACGCAATACTATCTACTCGTTATGAGAGCAATGTGTATCACGAGTATCCGTTTAATTACGTCACTTGGTAAATGTGGAATATTTTACGAACTTTCGAACTGTGCTTTAACGTGCCACTGAGTTTTAAAGACTATAATCAGACTTGGGGTATCTGGTTTGTCCAGAATTTGTCGTTACGCAACACTTGGTCGCGAAGCTTCCTGATTTGCTTAAATTTACACGACTGTCTTTCCCTGTTACCCTTTTCACTGCTATTAATTAGAGCTCCGAACGAGAAAAATCCACAGAAGGAAGTTTATGAGCCAGTTATGAAAAGTCGAGATTTAAAGTAATTTTCCCGAACGATCAAAATAGTATTCGTCTTTTAATGAATCTGATAATTTCATGAATTTTCTTCTGCAATTTGATAGTGACCCCGTACTTTTTCCAAAATCAGTAGCTCATTATTCGACTTGGAATAATGAAATATTTAGCTGGAGAAATAACAGAAACTCACCATCCAGGAACATCTTCGGGGTCTTCGCAGGCGCCACTGCCGTCGGCGTCGCCGATCTTGAAAACGGTACCGATGGGGCATCCGTACTCCCTAGCGGTGCCCTCGAGACATATGTAATACTTTCTGCAGTCTTCGGGATGGGCGTGTCTGCTGAAGCTGCCGGATGCTCCGCTCACTTCGCCCGCGGCTGGACACGTGAATCCATTCGCGACTTCTACGCAGTGTAACAAACGCGTAGAACGTGAGATGAGATGGCAAAGAGAGAGGCTTGAGCCGCGATTCTGTTGTCCGCTTCGAAGCCGGTGAATGGTAAAATAAGGCTTTTGAATCGCGCCGCACAGATCGTGAGGATTCCGTGCGAGGGAACACAGGATGTGCGTGGGAACGAGTTGTCACGTATCGTTCGTCGAACGACAAGCAACGCAATGAATGAATAATGTTTCAAGGAGACAAAGACAAGCGTCGTTGACGTGTAAATGATTTTCAGTGAATGGGCGTCTGGACATGCGTCTGAACCAGTTTTACATATGTATGAATACCTTTCATCCCCGTTTCACTGACTGAAAATGTCCCTCAAATATTAGATTCGTTTAATAGTAAGAATTAAATTATCATAATAGAAAAATTATACTTCTGAAGATCTAACGAAAAAAACAGGCTATTTTTTAACTTCTAACTTGAGTTACAATACAAAAACAAAAAATGTATCAGAATATACCTTCATTCCTGCATTCGGGTACTTGGTCTGCCCACATACAGACTCTAGATTCACGATCGTAAGCGAGTCCAGGGCTGCACTGGTACCTTGATATCTCTCCATTCCAGCAATTCCAAAATACGTCGCATTTCTTCTCGTCGGGGAAGATACCATAAAGACGGGGACAATGAGGCGTGCTAATTGGTGGTTCCAGCTGCGATCTATCGCCGCAATCCACGTTGTGCAGGTAGTCGCAATTTTCAGTGAGGAACTTGCTGTCGCTTGCGTCGAAGGCTAATCCATTGCCGCAGGTTTTCAATTCCGCGACGTTATTGTCGCATTTCCAGTATTTGTCGCAAGATATGTGATGAGGATAGAACCCGAAGTCGTCTGGGCATTTAAACGATTCTTGAGCAGTTGCGCCTGTAAATCATAGAGAAATATCATTAGTAATACTCAACCAATATTATGTCGTAGGAAACAATCCAGAACATTCTAAAAGCGAATCGCATGTATGGATTGTCACGTATAAACATTCCACGCGGTTTCGATTTTCTATATCTCGTAACGTTTTAAATAACTATCTCTTTCTAGAGATTCTAAATTATAGATCATTGTGTTGAACTTATCGTGAATGGAACGGAAAATAAAAAGGATCTGTACAAAAGATGTCTCCTGCGGTTAAATCCGATACGGCAATGCTTTAATTATGTCAGACGTCGCAGTAATTGCATTCAGTTTTAATGTTTTTGCCTGCAATATTACTTTCGTGAAAGAATTAAAGACTCTTCGTCGACCGCAAAAGCAATTTCGGTCGTTGCGATTTTCTTCCTCCTTTCTTTGACATTTTTACGTCTCTTCTACCTCGTCAATTTCTAATTTTAATGAAAATATTTTTATTCTCACGCAGACACGTGCTGTGACTGTCCGATAAAGTAAAATTGTTTAAAAATAAAATAATCTCGCAATTTGTATTTGAATATGAAAAATTCATCTCATGTTCTCAAAATTTGTAGCAAATTATAAGATGAATTTTTTATGCCTCATTCATAACTGATGGACTACTGGGGCTGTTATCCTTCGTTCGTACGAAAGTAGATACCGATATGTACGTATATGGATCTTTGACACCGCCACAGCCTCTTATTACTCATGCTAATGCAGCCTTTGTATTGTTTCGAGGTTACTAATTATGCCTAATAATCTGTTATTCTTTTCTTTTCACGACATATGATGTCTGTATAACCTAAACATCTTATGTAAGGACACAAAGTGACTTTCGCCAGGCGCTTTCACTTTGGGCCTAGAGCCAGGCCCAGCTAGCAGCGACGGTGCGGCTCGTGACTGGGCCCTCCCAGCATCCCGTTCACTCGACTCTCCTTTACACGTTTCCACGTCGTGTGTGCTTTTTCTCTATATCTCTCTCCCTCTCTCTGCCTTTCTCTTTCTCTCTTTGGTACATGCATACACATATTTCTGTCCTTTATAATTTCGCACGTATCAACATCAGCGATCGCGACCCTCTCGGCTTTATGTGCGCGCATGGATTGCACGCATCCACTTTCGTTTTCCGTGGATCGAACCGGCTACCAAAACTCGCGTGACAAATTTCTTCCGAAGCTTGGAAGTCAGAAAAAATTGACGTGAACGTTTGTATGAATTTTTTAACAATACGGTTCGAAATTTTTCTTTATGCTCGATGATCACCGACGATAAAAAGAAGGGTCAAGATCTAGGCCAAGGTTATCATGCAGGTAGGGAAGGTTTGTGGTAGGGGAGGAAAAAAGAAGGGAAACGTGTGTTAAGAAGGTTTCTCTTTGCACGGAAATTGAATACACGCGCCTTTCGATCTCGTTTCAATCGGTGGATTCCGTTCCAAGCAGCGAGAAAGCCAATTGTAAATACTCAATTTTATCCCGTCGTTAATTCTTAATTAAACTCTTCCCTGACGAATTCTATCTCAGTCCATAAATTCGATGAAGAACATTCTTGTGTCCTTTTCAGAAGATTAACATAATACAGAGAAATGTAGAGAAGATTCTAGATGTTCTATTAGTCCTTGGTATTAACGAGAATAGTTTGTTACACGATACGCTGTCCTAGTTAGACGCATAGATTATATTTACTAAACGTAGTTAAACGATTTCTAAACAGCTTTTTCCTGCAGTTAAGTGTGTGGTAAATTAATCTGTTTTTTATAGAGTACCATAAAGTAGATCGTAACACTCTAATTAGCAGTATAAACGAGTCACTTAAGTCAGACACGTTCGTGCTGAAACTAATTTTTGATAACGAAAATGAAAATTTACATGAAGAAGATAGTAATTAGAGAAGGACGTTAATTGCCTTTGCGAAATATATAATCCAATAATACACACGGGCTATTTCGATCATTTTTCTCGCCGCTTTCAACAATACGGAACGTACCGCGTGTACCGCGATTGTCGCACTCGGTTTGTGATCCACACGCATATGTCACACACTTATGGTTCTCCACTTCCGCCGAAACGATCGTGATCGTCTTTGAGCAACACTTTCCTCGATAATAATTTTATATCCCGTTAACAGGCGTGCCGCCCCATTTTCTCTACGTCCACCCTTCTCGCATCCTCGTCATCGTATTTCACGTTTATTTCGGGTACGTACCGGCGATCAGAATGGCGGCTATCACGTAGTACGTCCTCATGGTTATTACAGCGCTAAAGTTTCCCGCGTGGTACTACTAACGATTGAAGTTACCCTCTTTCCTTGCAGGTAACGGTAACGAGGTCGAATTGTTTATTTAAGAAGAAAAAAAAACTATTGTCACTGTTGCGAACATAGACTCCACCGCGCTGAGGAGAGAACTCTGTATTTGCGTCCTGTGTCGTTCTCCACCTTTATATAAGTCATTGGTCACGTGTTGTTCCTCTTCCACCACCTTGTAGAACCTCCTTCTCTTCTCGTCACTTCAAGAAGAGGTACCGTGCACCTCGCTAACGTTTCTTCCCTCCCTCCTCTCGTCCTCTCTTTCTCTTTTTCGCGTCGCCGCCGATTCCCCTTTCTTTTTCCTTTATTCTCTTCTCCTAACTGAAAATGCCAACCGAAGACCTAACAGAGGTAATAATGTTCGACGACGTTCTTCTCCTACTTTTTCTTCTTTTCCTTGCTCGACCTCTACCTCATCCCTACGTTTCCCCTTTTACCCTGTTGCATAGCCTTAAACGCTAAAATGATTTTTTATTCCTCATATGTTCGAGTTTCGACGATCCCTATCCTATTCTTTTTATCTCCATTTTCGGCTTTTAGCCCTGCCAACAGGATTCTATTACTCGTCGAGACCAGTTTCGACCCAGGCTGGTTTTACGCGTAATCTCCCTAAAAATCCGTTCACGGATAAAAATTGCGAGGATCGTACCTTCCCTCAGAAACACCGAAATATATTCGACGAAATTTGTTTCTGTTTTATGAGTACTTTAGGGACTGAGCTTTGAATATTTTAATCATAATTTAAGTCAAGCAAGTAGATCGAAGATTTCAAATAAAAATAGTCATATATTATCATTGAATCTGTCTTCTTGAAATCTTAATTTTCGTTACCGGTTCAAAGAGTCAATGTACTTTTAACTCTTTCATTGTTATTATACCAGATATGTACGCGCGCTTGCGTCGCGTATCTAGGCATCAAGAAATTCGCTGAACTCGTGCAGGTGCGACTGGTTTGGTACACAGCCGGCGTACTCGTGCCGCCGTATGATTTGCAGAATACTGACAAATCGCAACGTGATTATAATAATAATAATCGCAAGACCGAGGGGACAGAATGATATAAAATAACGGAGGAAGGCTGGAAGGGGGCGAAGGTCGAGCACGAGCAACGTGACTCACCGTGACACCCAACTCACTGACACACCACCCCCTGTTCAACATTCCGATGGAGGTTACACTCAACTACGAATAGTTAATGACCATTGTTTATAGTCACTGTTCATAGTCGATCGAAAATAGCTCTTAAATAAGATTTGTAAGAGTTGGAATTATATTGAGATATTCGTATCTGCATACAAGACTAGTTTGACGATTTAGCGGAAGAAACAACTAAATCCAGTCTCAGACTAGCCATTTAAAATTGAAATACTTCACTTCATTCTTTTCACATTAATTGTAACCATGAACACAGGCTAGACACCAATATTCTACGACTATAAAATAGATTCTTGTGTATCATGAGCGTATAACATTTTCTGTCTGTCTCTTCACTGCTAGAGAGAAGCAGTTATATGAGTCTGTTACTGTGGCGGTCGTTTTTGGGTTATCGCGATAGAAAGTCGATTATATCAGGCCTGGACTGGTATTTCTCTATAGCGCGTACGAATGAGAATCAAGTCGATTGCCAGTTAGCATCATCTAATTTTAGATAACTTTTCACCGCTATATACATCGTTTCTCTTGATTCATCAAAAATGCTTCCGCGATTTCCATAATCGGAAATTATTTCCTTCAATCGATTTGTACAACGATTGACATATATTACCTTGCATCATCCATTCGCATTTCTGACACTTGTTACGTTTCTTCCACAAGAAAGTTCCAAGGATTTTGCAATTATTTCATCATTCATCTCTTATACCTTGCGGTGAGGCCTGGTTCTGTCCAGGTAAGAACATATTTTGAAAGATATCGATCACTGATCGACAACCATACTTATCTTTTTCTATAAATTCGTCTTTTATATTCTATTGTTCGATAAATATACCTCTCTCTTTATGTAATTTCGCGATCTCCTCGTATTAAAAAATGTCCAAGAGTAAGTAAACTTGTAAACGGAATGTTCGAAATTTTATAATGCTTTAAAACTGAAACCAAATTGAATGCCTTGTCTTTCTAGTTCTACTGTATTTTCATGGATACGGTTTCAATCAAGACGGGCAAGGCGCATGTTAATGCTATACGCTTTCGACGACAACGGAACTTTCTCGCTCGGTTTAATCCAGTTTCTCGAATAAATCGCATTGGCCGAGCCCGTGTGTTCACGCTTTACGCGCGTACCCTGTAATCGGGGGACCTAATGAGGAGAAAAAGATCCGCCGAGATGTCGACAGGTTGATCGACCTTGGTATTATAATTTCGAATAAACGAAGAAGACAGTATTATTGCATTTATTATCAAATGGATGACATTCCTTATACATTAATTGCATTCATATATTACAGTGACCTGATAAAATTTTGAGTCACCGACTTATTTTTATAAGAAGTTAAAATGCTGTGTATTCAGAGAGAAGCAAAAATTTTGGAAAGCAGATTTCGAAATTTGAGTGAAAGAGTCACATTAGTCTTTGTAATTACGAAATACAGTGGCTGCGTAAAAGCATTTTCATCTACAGCTGCATTTATCTCCTATTTAAACGTTACTTAGCAAATATAGTTGTTTGTTCAATGAAAGTTTCCGGACTTCACGTGTTCGAAATCGGAATAAATTATTGTGAATATCAAAGAGTTTGCTAAGAAAGGTCATAATCAAGGCCGCTGTTCTGCGGATTAGCTGCGGCCATGAAAGTGTGTAAAAATTGAACTGCTATCGCTCGCGATTTTCCTTAAGGATGTATTGGCTATACAGTCAATCCCAAAAGTTTATGCACTCGTTAATACTTAATTGGATATTTCCTTCCATACTTTTTAGCACGTAGCTATTTATTATTAGCATTATTCTTCCGACGTCTGATTTCTTTTTAACTATAGGAAATGCGTTTTTCTAAGGTACATAAACTTTTGGGATTGACTGTATAGCCAATATATCCTTAATTAATGCGTTCGCAGAGTTTCACTATTCGCGCGCGAATAACGCGTGGGTACCGGTTGCGAGGCGAAATATCATTTTTGCGGCCCGTTGTAAGGAAATTCCTCCGGTCGGATATCAATAACTTGTTAAGTGAACGTGAACGAGGTAGGCGATCGTTCCACCTTACCTCTAATGCTTTTCTTATCGATTATGTTTCCGGTACAAGCTTACCTCCTGATTTATTCTTTGTTAAACGTTGGCCAAGCTGCGAATTGAAATTAATATGAAATAATACAAGCATATTCTAGTCTACTGACATACAATAATTGTCATTTAACGACGTTGTATCTGATCTTTAATTTTGCATCTTAAATCGTTTGAGAGTTACACGACAAGTGTTTTACTATTGTGGGGAATGTTCGAAGTGATTTATGAGTGTTCGTTGGTAACAGGAGACTTTTACGAACTTTCATGAATTCTTGTTTCGACGTGACAGGACTGAGACGTGGCCGGTACACCCGAATAGGAAGTAGGTGGGAAGGCCAGGGGCTGTCGTACCGGATGGCTAATGCACAAACACCTTCCGGATAACGGTAAGGCTGCACCGCGAGCAGTGGTTTATTGCGGTAGCGGCGTTACGCGCCGCAACGTGCCAAGGATGCAGGTGCCGCGCCTCTTGATGATTAATATTCGGCTCGGTTGGTCTCCTTAAGTCGAACCGATACCAGCCGAGCCAGGACAACTGGTCGTCCTCCTCCTGGAAGTTCTCTCGTTACCTTGCCCTAAATCTATCCCTCGCGATAAATTACATCATCGTTTTAAAGTGTCTCGTCGAATTGCTTTATCCTTCAGTGGTTACAGTTTGATCGAAAAATTTCGGCGGTTCAATAATGAAATTGACGTGATAAAATTTAATCTTGAACAATTGCGTCGCGTCGTCCTCAAATATTATAAAATTGTTATGTTGTATTTCTAAATTACTGAAACTTATAATGAATTGATTCATGACTTTTTTATTGACTTGAATAACGTCAACGTATTCATAGATTCATGAACGATAGTGTATAACTATTACTACATATTCATAATATTCCCTGATGATAATTTCCTCTTGTTCGCAATGAATTCGTTCAACTTATCATCGAGTAAAAAATTTTCATATCGAAGGTTCATTGTAATATACTTGGAAACACGCTGCTCGAGGTATGCGAGAGTCTAGCCAAGGAGAGCCGGAGACGTGAATGCCAGATCACTGATCAGGCGATGAACGTGGCGAAAATAGCCGCGTTACAGTTCGTATTATTAATCGATCTGTTTGCATTCATATCGGGTTTCTCCCATGATTTTTTCTCAATAATAAGAAATACAGCGGGTGAATACTTCGAACAGTTCCGTTTAATGATGAATAATTGAAAGCAAAGGTGCATTGAATATCAAATTATGTGCAGTTGAGAAAAAGGGAAAAATTCTAATTCTCATAATATGAATTTACTCAGTAAGATTGGAAGTGATCTCGAACGTAGTTAAATTAATATTGCAAATGATTTACGACATTCATGATGAATAAAGCAACAGCGCGAGGAGTTGCAAATTTTTTTACAGATACCGTTACCGCGCGAGTACTTTATATGTCGACGATATCAGTTCTCGTCACCGGAACCGACGATACGTCAGGCTTGGTTCGAACAATTTATGCGCCCCGTGCAATGTAATTATATTCGTAATTGACGTAACCGTACCAGCGGAGGTCGTTGCAGCGCGTTTATGGTCAGCGACGTGATAGTTGGGTATCAATAAATCATCTACCTAAAGGATTTAGAATCTTACGATTGCGTACAGTGTCGAGTGTTTTATTCTGTCTTTCACGCTCGTAGATCTCATTAGATACATGGGAGCGTAATGCGAGTTCAATGCACGTACGGCTATTATTCTCGTAGCTTTTTTTAATAATCCTTCCGCCTGTGCACTAAAATCTTAATTGATTCATGTTTGCGAATCAACTGCGAACGTCCATTAGATCATTTCTGATTTTTAAATTTGTAAAAATTTAACCGTCCGGGTCATAATTTGCATTCGAAAACATGACATATAGTAAAACTGTAAAT